ATTTTTTCCAGTCTCGTTTATAACTCTCATATGAGTGGTCTTTAAGATATGCAGATATTTTAGCCATCTTGGCTGAATTTGAAACTTTCAATGTCCATTCTTGAATTGTAGGCAAGTCTTCCTTCTTCCAGTATTGCGCCACCAACAGTCTTGCTGCAGTTATTAAGTGCAAAATCAAATTAATCTCTACCGCTGTACAGTCAGTAATTATACCTATCAAAAATAACTGTGGAGTAAACTTTATCCTTCTTTTAAAAATATTTTGCACCATAAAAATATGGTGGATTGGGCTGTTGACCTCTTGAATGAGGTCCAGCCCCACTGAGGTTGAGTGCATGTTGTGTCTTTTTTAACTTGCCTGTCTTCTACTTTTTAAACTTTTTAATATTCTTTCTTTTAATTGTTTTAATGTAAGCTGCCCGGAGTCCTTCGGGATTGGGCGGCATATAAATGTATTAAACATTAACAAACATTAACATTTAAAGCTTGTCTGCCATTTCCCTGAAACTCTTAATACATCAGATAACAGTTTTAGGCAAAACAGATTAGATTTCCTTTTTCAAAATGAACGTGCAAATTTTTTAGGCTGCAAACTAGTAGATAGATCATTTAGACAACATAATTTGTTTATGTGTTCATTCTAGTTAAAAGCTGTAGTGTATACCCAATTATAATTTTTTATAAATTAATAATACCAATGAATTTCAGATAAATAGACAGACTGGCCCACGCTAATAACAGACATATATATAGACAGATTGATTCACTCTAATAACAGAGATTGTTGTTTTAGATTAGGTTTCATATTATATATCAGTTATGATTCTGAAATGTTGAGGTACTTTCCTTGTGATATGTGAGTAATCATTACAAAACTTCCTTAAGGTGAGCCAATATAATCACCCTCATCATAGTATATAGCCTTTATTGTCATTGCACAAAATAAATACAATGAAATTGGTTTTAGTCTCACTGATGCAATTCATGACAACCAATACAAACAACATAAATAATATAAAGAATAATCCCAATGCAAGTAATTAGGGGAAAAGAAAAAGAAAGAAAAAGAAAAAGTAGTCATACATTTCTATGTGTGCATGGAGTAATCGTGGTTGTGTTTAAGAGTCTGACAGCCCAAGGGTAGAAACTATTTTTAAACCTATTTCTTTGGCTGGCTATGCTTCAATGTCTTCTGTCCAAAGGTAGAAGTGTGAAGATACACTGACCAGGGTGTGAATCATCTCTGAGTATCTTCCTTACTCTGCTAAAGCAGCGAGACCTGGAGATGTCATCAAGTGGTGTTAGAGGACAACCAGTGGTTACTTGTGCCGAATTGAATTTGAATTTGAAAGTTTATTTATAGGCCGCCCTTTTCCCTGTGGGGACTCAGGGCGGCTTACAACTCATGGGGAANAGGCATTGCCCTGTCAGCTGGCCAGCGCGCATGTGCATGCTGGCCTTAACTAATCTTTGCGAAGAAATAGGAATGTAAGATGTGGCAATTAATCAGATGCTTAGTTCAGGGAAAAGACAGCATGTTTCAAATATCTCTTTGCCCAAGATGCAGAACCCATCAAATAGATAGAATTCAATAGGTTTCTATTATTAATTTTCCTTCCTTTCCTTTGAAAGGAGAAGAAGAGGTAAACGAAGAAGTCCCTTAGTGATACCTTCCCCACTGGTATGCTCTTATGATTTCTGTACTGAGGAGGAAGAAATGTTGTTAAATGCAAAAAGAAAAGAAAAGAAAAGGATATTTAGAAGATAAACCGATGAAGCTGGGTTTTGATGCCTGCATTGTTTTCTCTACCAGGTCATACATTGGAACTCGCCCAAAAAGTTGAGAGTAAAGAACAAGCATGTGGAGTTTTTCCGCAACCTCTATCTGACATTCCTGGAATATGATGGGAACTTGCTGAGGCGGGAGCTTTTTGGATGTCCCAGTGAAGCTGATGTCAACAGTGAAAATGTAAGCTGGCCTTAAACTTGGGGGTGGCTTTGATTTCCACAAATGTATGAAATGTGGAAGGGTGGGAAGGGATTTCTCTCAAACAGAAGATTATAATTATGCCAAATATCCTTAGTAGGGCCCAGAAAATAACTAGCAGAGGTTAATGCTTGGCCAGCCCAAGACATTGGGTTCCCTGTGACAAAGAACTGAACAGTACTCCTTTCTATCTCATTACTGAAAGCTGACTGGACTAACAGTTTAATCTTCCTTCAGTGCTGGGTATGGGAGGGACTTTCACTATTTATTGAGACTAAAGTTCTCTGGATTGTGAGGCGGGCTTTTCTAAAAGCTTCCCAGTTTTTAAATTTATTTAATTTAAACTGAGTTAAACTGAGGGTTCAACTCAGAACTTTCTGCATTAAAAATTCTGAATTAAAATAAACTTTTCTCCAAGAATAGGAATATAGAGGAAAATAGTCTAAGTAGTCTAAAATTTTGTTCGGCACGTAATGTGTGGTGGTGAGGTGATAAAGAAATCGATGTTTTTCAAGTTGTATGTCCTCTATATATTTATATATTGTAAGCAATACAATAGGGAGACATTTTAAAAGGCAATTATTGTGTATGTGTATGAAATTTCAGGTAGTTTTCTTCAATAATAAAGCTATATTCAGAATCCTTTCTTCTTCCATTCTGTGAATGTAATAGCAGTTTTCATTGCAAGTAAAACAAAATTGGCCATTCAAGTCTCACAACAAAGTGGTTCTGCAAATTTAAATTTAGGCATATGTATACTTAGCTTCTTTCTTGTTGCGCATGTAGTAGCCATTTATTTAATGTATCGGTAAGGAGACTATACTATGTGATGCATCTAAATTGGTGCTCATCAAAAGTCAAGTACCATTATTAGCAACAGAAAAATGTGGCATAAGAGTGCCATAAGAAAAAGAATATTGGTCTGCTAGCTTCATGACTTAAACAGTTATGACCAACCAATGGTCATGACTGGTTAAAACTATTGCTTGGTATGCTTATATATAACTTATGAGGAAATCTAAAGGCCTGCTTATGAACTACTGCTTATAGCAGTGTTTTTCAATCCTAGCAACTTTAAGATGGGTGGCCTTCAACTCTCAGAATTCCCCATGTTAATTGTAATGTAATTTTCGGAGTTGAAACCCACCCATCTTAAAGTCACTAAGGATACGAAACACTTATTTTAGGTTTCCCAAATGTATATCAGCCTATGAGATCTTTGATTAAAGACCTCTTTGCACTAATACATTCCTACCCAACAAGATCCATGATGGAAACTATAAATCAACACATGTAGAAAGTTGGAGTAGGCTAATTTGGCAAAACCTGGCCTATTTTTCATTTGAGTCAGCTAAAGTGACGGACAATGATATGTTTCTGTTGTATACACCTTCCATTTTCCAGTATGCCATTAAATTAGAAGTGTTGATTATCTGAGGGACAATATTCAAAATCCTGTACTTTTTATTTTGTTTTGTAGAGACACATTTTCCCAATCTGAACATGGATGTAAGTAGGTTCACAATGTCAATGAGAGTGCGGATGGTGATAGACTACAAAGACAGTAAAAGACCTGTCTGTTTATGTGTCAAGCACATGAACATTTAATTTGACTTTGAGACAAATAGGAGGAATAGCTAGCTAGATGAACATGGGATTCAGTAGTTTGGGGTTTAGCATGTTAAGGTCAGTAGCTAATTTCTTTCCATGGCCATCACTGTGAGCCATATTAATATTTATTTATTGGGTGTAGGGTGTATGTAAGGGATGTAGTGGCTCAGTGGCTAAGACANAGATCCATTAACATTTGGACAAACAGAAACTTTTTTCAATTTGTATCTGTCTAGTTGGCAGATATTAATGAAGTAATTGCTAAAGTGACTAATCTTTTTTTTGGGGGGGGGGGTAATAATCCCTGATTTGATTAAGACTTATTCTCACTGAGGTCATATCAATCCCCAAGGATTTGTGCAGTCTTCTAGGCTCCATGCACTTCTGCCACAACAGTTTCAAGGACTAAATATGGACTGCAGATGCAGTACCTATTTAGTCCTTGAAAATCCACACGAAAATGGGATAGCTACATCAGTGTTTCTCAAGTTTGGCAAATTTAAAATATGTGGATTTCAACTCCTAGCGTGTTATCCTGGAAATTCTGAAAGGGGACGTCCAGACATTCTATTTGCCAAATTTGACAAGCACTAACATCTTCTTACAAGTCTTCATTTCACTAATAACTTCTCCTATATTTGCTTGGTGCCTGATATTTTAAATCCTAAACCACCTTAAAAGAACTTCCTCCAAAGTCCTGAACAAATAATAGTATGACATGTAGCCTATTTCAAAATACACTCCTCATTTGAAGGTGTGTTCATTTGCTATACATTTTAAAATGAAGAACTGGAAGGAGGAGTCGCATGGCCTTGAACCTGCTTATAAGTTATTACCATTTGGAGAGCAGTCACAATTTGGTCACAATTTTGGTTGTGTTTTCTCGACTGGTATTGTATTGTATTGCTCTTCAAATTAAGGTAATTATCTCTAAATTGGTATCTGTGCATATGAATTAACACATATAAATTCCATTCAATACAATGCCCTTTTGTAATGATGAATTTTTCTCTTTTTCCCCTTTTCTTTTTTGGACTTTTATTCATTGGTAATGCATAAATAGGCACTGATAAAGTGCCCAAATTCCTTTTAGTAAAATTAAAATATAGTGTAAAGATGTGTAAAGGTTCCTGAGATGTGGTCCCCAGAGACTTCAAAACTTGATTCTTTTCATTTCAATTTTAATAATAGGGGGAATGATCGAATACCAACCAAACTGGAAAGTAATATATTCACAACAGTTAATTTACATTAAATGCAAACTGAAATAAAATCAGATCAAGCTTAATTTTTATTCTACAGTGTCCCTTTTCTTTTTGGAGGAATCTGTAAAAGATGTGGACCTCTACTTCTATTAACAAAGCAACAATAAGTTGTTCAATAGGATTTTTTTAAAATAATTCCTTCTTAGCAAATATCACAGTTCAAAATTTTGGGGTGAGAATTTGTGGAAACATATAAAGGGGAAAATCAATCTGTTGTTAGGAATCAAAAATGAATTGATGGCATATACCGTAATCATATAAAATAACTTCAAAAGGAAATTGTTCTCAAGCTTGAGAGTTGTGTTGATATTTTTCCTCCTTTCTTCATTGTATCCTTCCTTTAAATATTTGACCAATAATTTCCATTTCTGCACTTAAGAAAAAGCATTTAGCTTCTTTTAAAAAATATTTAACTGGTGCTTAAGTGCTCTTTCCTTTATGACTTGCATTAACATATTTTTCTGTTTCTACAGAGGAGGCATGTTGTTATTATTAATGCTTTATTTTTCCTTGCTCCTTGAATTTTATGCAGTGGGCTAAAAGGGATGTTTCTTCAGAGGGTGCTAAATTGTCAATAAATAATGTTACTTCACTTTATCATATGAACATTTCACTGCATTGTGGATACGGATTCAAAGATCAAATTATATACTATAAAACAAAAGGCATATCTTGGTAGAACTGTCCTAGTTTTCTAGTCTGGATAGTTAAGGCAACTTTTTTCTCCTGTGATGTTTTTACAGGGTATTTTTGTCCATTTCTGAATTAAGCTTGTTTATTATAGTTTATGTTTGCTTTTTTCACATAACTCATTTTTATTGCCTATTTCCTCAGTAGCCAGTAAGTGATCCTGTGAAACATTTTAGTATCATTACCTAAATAAGATGTTTTCTTACTAGAAATAGGAAATGTCAAGAAGATACAGTTTGCAAAGCTGTAATGCAGCTGTTGCTTATTCAGCACTTGGCAATCAGTAAGAGCAAAGTATATTTGTAACTTAAAGTACTGTCTTACCTCTATCTAATTTTATTAATGGACATGCAAACTCTTAAGAGCTGAACTTTGGATGAGTTTCCAATAAAACCCTCTTTCTTCTCTGTAGACTTATTTGGATCTTTTTCAAATGCATAAAATTAATGCTTGGAACAATGAATCATTTTTATAGCTAAAATATAACCTCCAATAAAATCATTTTTTTCCTAATTTGTCATTTTTTTTTTACTTGATGCTTTTTCCTGAGGGCCTTTAATTCTCACTCTTTTATCGTGTTCTTTATACTGCCAAAAGTAGGATTGTTGATTTGGATTGAAGGGTAAAGAAATGATAAAGGGACAGTTTAACTTAACTAATCTTTGCGAAGAAATAGGAATGTAAGATGTGGCAATTAATCAGATGCTTAGTTCAGGGAAAAGACAGCATGTTTCAAATATCTCTTTGCCCAAGATGCAGAACCCATCAAATAGATAGAATTCAATAGGTTTCTATTATTAATTTTCCTTCCTTTCCTTTGAAAGGAGAAGAAGAGGTAAACGAAGAAGTCCCTTAGTGATACCTTCCCCACTGGTATGCTCTTATGATTTCTGTACTGAGGAGGAAGAAATGTTGTTAAATGCAAAAAGAAAAGAAAAGAAAAGGATATTTAGAAGATAAACCGATGAAGCTGGGTTTTGATGCCTGCATTGTTTTCTCTACCAGGTCATACATTGGAACTCGCCCAAAAAGTTGAGAGTAAAGAACAAGCATGTGNCTTTCCTTGCTATGCTTTACTTCCCCAAGGCCCATAGCACTAGCATAAAGGCAGTTTTCCTCACTGGGTGAGCTGAAAATAAATCCTGTCATTTTTGCCTTCCTCACAATATTTTTTTATCCCAGCGTCAACAACGCTAGTGTAAAGCAGCATAAAGGATTGTGAGGAAAGCAAAACTGGCAGGATTTATTTTCAGGTTGCCCAGTGCCAGGAACGTTAGCTTTACACACTAGCTGGTGCTGCGGAAGCAAAGCATAGCAAGAAAAGCAAAACCAGCAGACTTTGTTCTACTCAGTTGTGCCATGTGGCCCACAACAGAGCTGACATCCCTATTCTAACTTCCTGACCTCTGGATATAT